TTCCCCTAAAATGTCACAATGGCATCAATACTGGGTCTCTGTGCTTCTTCATGTAGTCCAGGCAGATCATGGCTGGTGGGAGGGGCCAGCAGGGTGCCGTACCCTGAGGAGGTCAGAGAGAAGACAGAGGAAGGTCGGAGGTCAGAGAGAAGACTGAAGAGGAAGGTCAGAGAGAAGACTGAAGAGGAAGGTCGGAGGTCAGAGAGAAGACTGAAGAGGAAGGTCGGAGGTCAGAGAGAAGACCGAAGAGGAAGGGCGGAGGTCAGAGAGTAGACCGAAGAGGAAGGGCGGAGGTCAGAGAGTAGACCGAAGAGGAAGGGCGGAGGTCAGAGAGAAGACTGAAGAGGAAGGGCGGAGGTCAGAGAGAAGACAGAAGAGGAAGGTCAGAGAGAAGACAGAAGAGGAAGGGCGGAGGTCAGAGAGTAGACTGAAGAGGAAGGGCGGAGGTCAGAGAGTAGACTGAAGAGGAAGGGCGGAGGTCAGAGAGAAGACCGAAGAGGAAAGGCGGAGGTCAGAGAGAAGACTGAAGGGGAGGACAGACAACAGCTCCCCATGTCTGTCTCACAGGGACAGGAAGTGAGGCAGAATCTGCCCTGTGGGGTATCAGACGGAAATGGCGACCTGACATACAGTGTAACTCCTCCTCTCTCCATCCAGAATATAATCTTGTGTGGCGTTGAGATTTAATAATAACAATTGTCTGTTACATTGTTTCACATTCTGCAGAACCTCAGGAACGGCAGATCCCTGTCTGGGTGTCTGAGGATGACATTACCAGGGGGAGCAGCCAGCCGAATTCATGGTCACAGACCCCCAGGAGGAAGGGGACCGGGTTGCTCTCCTTGTTGGTCAGGATCTCCTCCGCTGGTTTGGGAAGGAAGACTCCGTCCACACAGGCCGGCAACACCAGGAATCCCTGAACAAAGACAAAGGAGGAGAGACAGAGATTCCATCACCATCTGAAGCAAAGACCGCTCCGTGTCACACGATGATATACAATGTATACGAGTTCAGGGTTCTGTGACCGAGTCATTGTCAGTCAAACTATCACAGCACTGAAACCTTAGCAATGGCCCGGGCAGGAAGGGGTGTACACAGGCCGGTACTCGAGGGGTTAATTCTGGAACTGTGTGTAAATAAACATTGAAGAACCCAACATGGCGCCGCGCCATCCGGGGATATGACGCACCATCTTCACAGCGACGGACAAGATCTCCTCCTCCGACTTCAGCATCAGGCACTCCGCCACCGAGGACACGTCACAGCCGAACAATCCCGACACCAACTGCAGGGAGGACACACAAAGCCGGATCACAAATCTCACCAATCGGGGACCGAAAACTGCTTCTAAAGTGACCCTGTCATGTGCGGAGAGCAAAACAGATACAATGAGGAAATCACTTCTAAAGTGGACAGTTATACTGACCCTGCCGAGCAGATTCGTCACCTTTTATTTACATCTCTGACCTCCGGGCTGCAGATAATACAAATAAACGTTCAAAATGGCGGCACGCGGAGCGATCAGAGTGTTACATTGTATCATTATCGGGTCACCGATACACGACAATGAAACATTATCTCATCAGAAAGCTCTTCCTTCCAGACATAAATCAGAGCAAAGTCCATTGAGGTGAGCCTGCTGAAACCGGGGGCGGAGCTAGAGCTAGATAGCGTCTCAAGGATCCAAAGATTTACATTTGTATCAGCCGAGCTTTCATGTTTATCACCTCGATACATTTATATAGCTCTGACCTATACCGCAGTGCTGTACAGAGAACACTGAGCCGGTCACATCAGTCTCTATACAGAGGAGCTTACACTCTAATGCCCCCTCCCCCACAGTCACATCAGTCTCTGTACAGAGGAGCTTACACTCTAATGTCCCCTCCCCCAGTCACATCAGTCTCTGTACAGAGGAGCTTACACTCTAATGTCCCCTCCCCCAGTCACATCAGTCTCTGTACAGAGGAGCTTACACTCTAATGTCCCCTCCCCCAGTCACATCAGTCTCTGTACAGAGGAGCTTACACTCTAATGTCCCCTCCCCCAGTCACATCAGTCTCTGTACAGAGGAGCTTACACTCTAATGTCCCCTCCCCCAGTCACATCAGTCTCTGTACAGAGGAGCTTACACTCTAATGTCCCCTCCCCCAGTCACATCAGTCTCTGTACAGAGGAGCTTACACTCTAATGTCCCCTCCCCCAGTCACATCAGTCTCTGTACAGAGGAGCTTACACTCTAATGTCCCCTCCCCCAGTCACATCAGTCTCTGTACAGAGGAGCTTACACTCTAATGTCCCCTCCCCCAGTCACATCAGTCTCTGTACAGAGGAGCTTACACTCTAATGTCCCCTCCCCCAGTCACATCAGTCTCTGTACAGAGGAGCTTACACTCTAATGTCCCCTCCCCCAGTCACATCAGTCTCTGTACAGAGGAGCTTACACTCTAATGTCCCCTCCCCCAGTCACATCAGTCTCTGTACAGAGGAGCTTACACTCCAATGTCCCCCCCACAGAAGGTGGACTTACATCCCGGTAGAAGATGAGTTCCTCGGGTGTACTGACCACCAGGCCGGGCATGGTCGTGGTGCCGCTCTCAGCGATGGCTTTGTGAAACAATCCTTTAGCTAGAGGCGATAGAACCTGGAACAGACGGAGATTATATTTTGTATAAAATGTGTTTATTTTGCGGACAATGATACATTATATTTCTCATCATCTAATACTGATCCCTCAACACTGAAGAAGAGAACTAATCAGAGTTCCGGAGTTCTCCTTTAATGACCTGCAGTTAGCGGGTTAGTCCTGGTCTGCACTTCTCGGTCAGCAGAGATTAGAGAAGATATAAAAGTTTCCTCCTCGGTTTCGAGGGGAGATACAATTTCCTGAGATCAGTTCGTTCGTTCCTTACCAAAGCCGAGACGCTGATTCCTCCGGCGGACTCCCCGAATATGGTGACGGAGTTCGGATCCCCCCCGAATGAGGCGATGTTTTCCTGCACCCAATGCAGAGCCGCCACCTGGTCCATGAAGCCCAGATTGCCGCGCAGCTCGCCGTCTCCGGTACTGAGGGAGATACAATACAATCCATCAGACTATTAGTGATGATTAATGTCAGTCAGGATGTAGTCAGTAGAAATGTAGAATGCCCCCCCCCCCCTGTAATATATCTCCACCCTGAATGGTCATATATAGGTCTCCAAGCTCCCGGAAGATATAAAAGACATAAATATTCGCAGGGCTGCACTGTGTGGCAGAGCTGTGTGAATATTAAAACTGGATCGCCCAGTTTGCCCGGAGCCCAGCTTTAAATGCGACCCGAGGAACTCACAGGCCTCGTTCACACCAACCTCATTGCGGCCGGAACGCACCTGGATCGCACCGCGGCCGGCTCATTTTGTGGTGGGACGGGAGGGGGCGTGGTGGTCCATTGAAGTGACCAGTGCGATCAGCCGCACGGGAATGCAAGGCACATCAATGCCTGCGGCCCGGCCCGAAAAAAGAGAGAAAGAGCAAAAGAGATAGAGCGACAAACACACACAGACAGAGACACACACAGACAGAGACACACAGACAGAGACACACACACACAGACAGAGACACACACACACAGACAGAGACACACACAGACAGAGACACACACAGACAGAGACAGACACAGACAGACAGAGACAGACACAGACAGACAGAGACAGACACAGACAGACAGAGACACACACACAGACAGAGACACACACAGACAGAGACACACACAGACAGACAGAGACAGACACAGACAGACAGAGACACACACACAGACAGAGACACACACAGACAGAGACACACACAGACAGAGACACACACAGACAGAGACACACACA